ACACACAGCACTGCTCCTCCCCCAGCACTGTCTCCCCCACACACAGTACGGGCCCCTCACTGCTCTCCCCCAGCACTGCCTCCCCCACACACAGCACGGCCCCACACTGCTCCTCCCTCAAACTGCCTCCCCCACACACAGCATGACCTCTCACTGCTCCTCTCTGCCACACACAGCACTGCCCCTTACTGCTCCTCTCCTCCACAGCACGGCCCCTCACCACCCCTTCTCCCACACAGACTGGCCCCTCACTGCCCCTTCCCTCCACTGCCGCACTGCCTCCCCCACACACAGCACGGCCCCACACTGCTCCTCCCTCAAACTGCCTCCCCCACACACAGCATGACCTCTCACTGCTCCTCTCTGCCACACACAGCACTGCCCCTTACTGCTCCTCTCCTCCACAGCACGGCCCCTCACCACCCCTTCTCCCACACAGACTGGCCCCTCACTGCCCCTTCCCTCCACTGCCACCACACGTGGCCCTTCACTGCTCCTTCCCCCACCCAGTGCGTCATCTCAGTGCCCCTCACACATACACACAGCCTCGCCCCTCACTGGAAGTCATCTGTGGTAAATGGTGCCCAGCTGGAGCCTGCATTCCAAACTCTGGCCCCAGTTCTGAACCCATTGTGCATCTCAAGCCCGTACCCTAGCCCTGAGTCCCCCTGCACCCAAACTCTCTCCCTGAGCCTCACCCTGCATCCATCCTGCACATCAACTTCCTGCCCCAGGCTCAGCTGAGAACCCCTCCCACACTCCAAATCCTTTAGCCCAAGATCAGTGTCCACATCCTCCTCTTTCGCACTCCAGCCTTCTACCCCCAGCCTGATAAAAGTGAGTAAAGGGGAGGGAGAGAGGATGGAGTGAGCAGGAGAGGATCCTTGGAGAAGGGGTGGGAAGGAGGTGGGGCAAGAGTGTTTGGGTTTGAGGTGGATCCCGGATTGCACTTAAATTAAAAAAGTGATCTGCTTAAAAAGGTTGGAGATCACTGGTGTAGACAGTCCCTGTCCTCCAGACTTTACAACAGTGTTTCTTAAACTGTGTTCCATGGAACACTGGTGTGCCGTGAAGCAGTCAGAGGTGTGCTGCTGAGAACAAAATAGCCATCCTTAAAGGGACAGGCTACCTCCCCCCCTCCCTTTTTTTTATTTTGCTCAATAACTTCCCCCCTGACCTTTTTTTTCTTCTCAACAAAAAATCCTTGGTGTTCATCCTAAAAAAAAATTGTTTGCTGTTCCTTGGTCTTAAAAAGTTTAAGAAATACTGCTTTACAACCTAATTAGTCTAGCTCAGAGGCAAAATTGCCCAAATAAGCTTTTAGACTACTCTGAGTGGGATTTCTAAGGCTTGCCTCAAAAAAAAAAAAAAAAAAAAAAAAAAAATCATAATTAGTGGAAGTGTTTTGGCAAGGCATCCTGTTAATGCAGTGGTCTCCAACCTTTTAAAGGATGAGACCATTTTTTGAATGTAAGTGCAATCCGGGATCTACCTCAAACCCAAATACCTTTGTCTCACCTCCTTCGTGCCCCTTCTCCAAGGCCCTGTCCCTGCTCACTCCATCCTCCCTCCCCCATTCCCTCTCCCTTTCATCAGGCAGGGGCAGAGGGTTGGGGTGCAGGCTTTGGTCTTGGGCAAAGGGATTTGGTGTGTGAGAAGGGCTCTGAGCTGAGCCTGGGGTAGGATAGGGTTACCAGGTAGTCATAAAAAAATACCGGACACACTTCATGGGGGGAGGGGCAGGAGGGACCTGCTGGGAGGAGAGTGGTGCTGGCCGGGAGAAGGGGGGGGAGCCCCAGGAAACAGCTAATGGCGGGCAATGGGGCTGGCTGGAAGAGATGGGGGGGCTGACAGGAGGCATAGCTGGTCAGTGGGGAGGGGGCAGGCGGAACAGGGCTGGCTGCGGGATATCCCGGGGGGGCATGGTTTGCGGGGGCGGAGCTGTCCGGGAGAGCTCAGGAGGAGGAGGAGGATGGGAGAACTGGCCACCAGAAGAAGGGCTGGCAGAGGGTGCAGCGGGGCTGGCCGGGGAAGATCCGGAGCAGGAACTGGCCAGCGGGAGGCAGAGCTGGCGACGGGAGGGACTGGCTGGGGAAGACCGGGAGGAGAAGTCGGGGAGAATCAACGAACCGGATGGCTAGGAGGGTGCAGGACTGACCCAGGCTGTGCAGATCCCAGGGCGCTTCTGTCCCACACGAGTCAGTCTGGCTGCAGCTCCACCACGCGCTTGACCAGCGCGCAGGAGCATGGACCGGGCTACCCCTGCTCCTCCTCCTCACACGTGACCAGGGCTCCCAGCGCCAATCGTGCCCCACCTCCCAGTCACTCCCCCTGCCCCTGCCCCTGCCCCCGCCC